TACATGTGCAGGTATTGCCAGTGCTTCTGGAAGGCGTCCCGGCGGGGCAGCAGGTTCCTGCAGATCACCCGTGAGCACCGGGGATCTGTGGCCTCCCTCCAGCTGGTGCTGGACGAGCCACCGGAGCCGTCTGCGGTTCAGCGCCAGCAACAACCTCGGGGCAGTGTCAGACTCCATCTGGCAGGTCATTGTGAGCAATGAGGAGATGAAGGGCATCAGGGCGATCCAGCAGGTGGCACAGAAGGTCACCGCACCAGCCTGAGCGGCTGGCAAGTGAGCTAGGATGCCGTGGGTGGCTCGGCGGAGCCCGTTCCAGTTTATACATCCGTTTTGAGCTCAGTGCACCTCCGTGTTGTGGACGCTGTAAGTGTCCTCCCTCAGGTCCAGGTGCCCATTGGCCCTGTACCGGGGGGGGACCCGGCGGTGGCCATGGTGCGGCACCCAGACGACCTGACTCTTTGCGCAAAATGTGACCGACCTTGAGCTGTGTTCTCTCACACATGTCGGGACGATCCGGAGAGTTGTACTATGTTTTGATTTAGGATTTGGTGGATGCACTTTTCCCTCTCCCTCCTCTCTTCCCTTGACTGTTTGGATTTCTTTTGCTCGTCTCGGTGAATTTGGGCTTCTCTGGGAAGACATTTTGTTTTTGGCGGGTTTGTGGCGCCATGAATTTCACTAGTGAAGCATTCTTGAATCGCACACCCTACTGTCGTGCTTGGGACTCTCTGCCCCGCCATATTTTTGACACCTTGGTGGATGAGGGATTTTCCCCCCGCCAAACTGATGGAGAACTACTGGCGGTGGCCTGCCTGCGGGTGGGCACCCCCGGACGAGTCCCTTGAACTTGGGGGCCAGCCAGCGGCGGTCTTCCGGTTTGGGGCTATGACCCGAACGACCCGGATATCCACATGGTCCCTGAGGACTACCTGATGGCGCTAGTCACGGCGGCCGCAGCTCGCCTCCCTCAACCTGTGGATCAGGAGGACTTGGAACGCATCAGGGCCACGTTTTGGGATCTATTGATCAAGGTCACCCAGGGCCCCAGAGGGAATCTGACGTACGGGCCCTGCTGAACAGGCTGCAGGCGGATGAGATCTCGCCATACAAACTTCAACAGATATGGCAGACCCTCAACTGGCTGTCCAAGATCTTTGGCCTATTGAAGGTGGACGAACATCAGCGCCTTGTCACCAAGAAAAAGGCCCTGGAGGAGGAACTCGCGCCCACGGTGGTTCGTCCCCAAAAGAAAGCTGCGGTCCCTTCGCGGGAAGTGATTTGGCCGCTGGAGGAAGGAGCAGCGCTCGGGTGGTGCCCCTGGCCCAGCGGCCCCGGCGTCTGCGGCCCCGGGCAGGGAGCGCCATGAGCAGTTGGACGCCTTCATTCTGGGCTTTGCCCGTTTCCAGGTGGGTCGCAGTGCCCGCTTTGATGACCTTCAACATGTCCGACCTGAGGAACTCCGGACTATACCTCTAATACCATTGAGCTTCAGGCATGGCAGACCAAGGTGGCCCGAGCGGCACGCATCCGCACGAAGCCAGTGCCTCTGATCTGCCCGAAGTATAGTTTCTCTGGAGCACCCTGGTACTTGCAGTTTGTCTCCACGGTGCGGAAGCTTTCGGTCCTGAAGTCATTCGAGGGCATGGACTACCTCCTCCCCACGATCAGCAAGGACTTTGCAGGGCTGATCCCGCGCCCCTCGGAGGGGGATCGCGCTCTACGATGGCTCAAGGACGCCCTTCGACGTCGGGGGGTGGCACAGGAACATGTCACTCCCCTCGCGTGGCACTCCTTCCGGGTCTTCATTCCGGACTGTGCCTTCCAACTCGGGGTTCCCCGCTCAGAACGGCAGTACCTGGCGAACTGGATGACTGAGTCCACAGCTGACGTCTACACCAGGGAGAAGAGAAATGTCGTCACTGCCATCTGGACCAAGGTGGCAGACAAGGTGAACTCCATCAAGATGACACTGGGCAGGGAGCGCAGGGAACCTCAACCACGGGGACATGGTGGATGCGGACGCGCGACCACCAGGCTCCCCACCACAGTCCTCACGTCGCTTCATGGCTGCTACCCCGCCTTTGGATGCGGACTCTCCACCACTGGACAAGGTCACCCCGGGCACCACGGACTCTTGGGACCTTGTGGACGGCGAAGACAATGGCTTGGGCCACTTCCTTGCACAGGCCAGCGACCCGCCACTGGACGGCGATCAAGCCGACCAAGACGATACCTATCAGGTGATCAGCTCTAACACGGCACGGGGCCCCGACAAACAACTTCGTGTTCACCTCCTCACTTTGGAGGGCTTCTGCCTGGGCTGTGGTTGGCGCGCCAGAAGCACCGCCCCGGAGGACGGGGAGCGACCCGTCAAAACCACACGAAAGGTGTCGGTGGATGGCTGGGACCGGGCAGATGAGGAAGAGACCCGGCCGGACCTGAGACTGACCAAGGAGGCCCTGGACGAATGGTATGAGTGGTTTTACGGCGAGGACATCACGGGTCGCCGACCCCCCCCATCGGAAAAAGTCCTCCAGCTCGCGGAGCGCAATGCCTGGCGCAAGATTCATGACCTGGTCCACTCAGGCACCCCACTCTCCGAGGCCCTGTCCAAGCTCCGCCGCAACCACCTTTTCTGGCAGAAAAAGCTTTACGAGTACTGCAACAGCACCCCAAGAACCACCTCCAAGGGGCTGGGGCAAGCCCTGGACCCAAGTCTGGCAAACCCAGTGGGACAAGCCTGCAAAAGGCGGCAAAGACCGAGGCCGGAAAGGGCGGGCCCACTCCCAAGGGAGGCAAGGGCAAGGCCCCAAAGGGCAAGGGCCAGTGGCCAGACGGGGGCTGGGTGTGCAACGCGTCCACGGACAAGCGCACTCCAGATGAATGCCCCCATGCCCCCAAGTGACGCCAGGTCGGTCCAGGTGCCCGTCCACCTGCGTCTTCAGCAGAACGGCGCGTGGAACCCCCCAGGGAGGCCGGAAATGGCCCAGGCGCCTTGAGCCCTGTACCATCCACACAACCCTCCAACGAACCGAGGCCTCTCGACCAGGTGCCCTTGGCCCTGATCAGCCCCCCAGAGGTTCACCCTGCGGATGCGCCTGAGGCCACGTCCTCTCGGAGGGAGGCACTGGCCGGGCCGTGGGAGTTGGGTGGGATCTGGAGGACCCTGGCGATGGCCTGAGCCAAGCTCATCATCTGGTCGGGGTACCTGCTGAGGTCACTGGACTGGAGGTCCAGGGTTGGTGCACCGAAGACCGAAGGTCCTGCCAGTGGTGCAGCGGGAGGTCAGTCGACAGGGTGGTTGCCTTGACAACCATCTGGCCTAATCTGCACTGGTCAAACTTGATGCGATGGCGGTGCAGCTGGTTGGCCCATTTGATGTGGCCCTGAACGGGCAAGGGACTCGGACGACCCAGCCCCGACCTGGGACTGGCCCTCCAAGGACAGCCAATGGATCCTGCTAAAGGCCGATGTGACTAAGGCCCACCGACGAATCAAGGTCCTACCCCAAGTCTTGGCGTTTTCAAGTAGCACAGCTGGAGGACGAATGGTGGGTCAACAAAGTGGGTACCTACGGCATGGCGAGTGCACAGCTCTACTGGGGCAGGATGGCGGCCTTGCTCCTACGGCTTCTCTATACTATCTCTTTCCCCAAATTGATTGGGGCTTTGTCTTTGTATAACGACTTCTGCTGGCTACTTTGCCTACCCACCGGGCCGCAATTCACCGCGGCTCTCCTCGGCACACTAGTGGCATTGGGCACTCCTCTCAGCTGGAAGAAGACTCACCTGGCAGAGATCAATACATGGCTCGGGTTCGTGATCCACCCGACCATACCTCGTGTCCAGATGGCGGCGCCAAAGCACATCAAGGTCATGGCACTCCTGGAGGAACTCGCCAACGGAGCCCCCATGTCAGCAAAAGCCATCGAAAAGGCAATGGGAAGGATCCAATGGGCGACAGCATGCTGCCCCCTGGCCAAATCCATGCTCCAGCCCTTATGGGCCTGGAAGATGGCTGTCCGGACCATGGGCCACCCGCTCAAGGTGGTCCGCATGCTGGCCTCTTTGCTGAAGGAGCTCTTCACGCACCCCTTTGAGCAATACTCACCCTTCCTGCCGAAGTCCCCATGGTGGGGATGCAGCGACGCCAGTGCTTCGCGGACGGGTGAAGCATATGTTGGGGGCTGGTGCACGGCCTCCCCGAACCGTCCTTTGGTTTCACTATGCCGTTACAGCGGATGCACACCCTTGGGCATTCAAGGATGGCAACCCACAGAAGCGCATCGCGGCTTTGGAACTCCTGGGTACTTTACTTCTCTGCAAACACTTGGTGGCCCAACAGGGCCAGCTTCCGGGACGAGTTCGCCTCCCGGTTGGCAGCGACAACTCGGGCAACATCTTCAGCTTGCTCAACCTCTCTGCCAAGAAACCTTACTCGGCTGCGCTGTTAATGGAGCTGGTTCTTTTCCTTCATTGTGAGGGCTGTAGCATTGCCCCGAACCACGTCCCCAGGGAATACAACACCTGGGCTGACGAACTTACTCACCCTGATTTTGAAGGGTTCTCCTTAGATTGCCGGTTACCGGCCCCGGAGACACTCTTTGTTTTTCCTTTTGCCACAAGACTGCTGTCTTCGACTGGATTTTCTTAGGTTCCCACCCAAGATCCCGTGACCGGATCCGACCCTGTCCCCTGGCACCTCGACAGGTGCCCGTTGGCCCTGGGAGGACCAGGGGACCCTCGGGTGTTTGGCAGGGATGGGCGAATCCTACTGCCTGACACACCCTTTGTCCTCCTGGCGAAGCCCAGGGCATTTTGAAGCTGACCGAACGGTACAGGGTCTGGGGGAGGACCCCAGCATCAATCAAAGCACATTAGAAAAAGCCTGCACGCTGCTTTTTGCGCTCTCGGGATCTTTTTGGCTTCTGGGTACATATATATATATTTGCTGTTTGCTTGGCTAGCGGCTTTGGGTTGATGCTACCAGCTGACACTTAGGATCCAAGATGATGCTGTGAACGTCACCTGGCGACAAAGAAGCACGGGTGGATCATCGAATTTGACTGTTCATCATCGAAGTTGACTTGTTTATCGTGACCCCCTAAGTTTGTCATTGTTTTGTTTTCTGATACACTCCCTGAAATCATCAGGGAAGTGGATTGAAAACACTGTTTGGTGTTCGGATGGAAAATGATCATCCAAGGGGCCATGCCATCCACGTAACCACTTCCTATTTCAGGGAGTGTAGCTGCTGTAGCTTTGAATGTACTTCGTGCGATGGAAACCCTCGATTGGAAGTGCAGGTGGCAGAATCCTTCCAACCAGACGTCTGGAAGGCTGCCAAGTGGCTGAGGTGGTTTATTTCTCAGCCCTGCTGTGGATGTCTTTGTCGACGGCCGCTGGGCACTGGGCGGAGGGGCAGGAAGTCGTCGTCCTCGGGGAAGTAGGCGCAATAAAACTTGTTTGATTATCCACCCCTGGACAGTCCATTAGGGGAGAAAGAAGCCCAAATAGCCCCCGATGTCCAGGTCGGAAAACAAGAGAGCAACTTGACTAAGTTCCTGGGGTTCTCAGGTTTCATGGACGCGACCAAAAACCGTGAATGGACTTGAGAGCTATCCAGGAGCAGACACCAGATTCTTGATGATTCCAGGGAGCGCATATCGTTCTTAGTAGCAAACTGGTTGCTGCTCCACTTTCGCTCTTCTTCAGGGACGAGCGCTATTCGTGGCAGTCTACAACCCCAAGAGCTTTGGGGCAAACCACCGTTGAGGAGCGCCCTTCGGGGTAACCTCCATCCCAACCTCCATCCGACTCCACCACTGGGTAGAACTGCGAGCCCCGCTCCGGTTTTTTCGAAGGGAAACGTGCTTCGCCCGAAGCCGCCGGTGTTCGCTCAGGTGCCGTACATGGCATTGATCGGCCCTTTGCTCATGTGCCGTCTCCCAGACCGCGCGGTGTTCGACTGCCACCGGTGGTAGCGTGGTTAGCGTGATGTGGTGGAAGTGTGTTAGCATGATGTGGTGAGTGGGAGTTCCTCATAGTGCTTTTGGGAGGCAAGGTCCTGTAGTGGTTTTGGTGGTTTGTTTGATATATGGTTGAAAGCAACATTGCACGACATTTTTTTTTTAACGTTGCAAGGAGGGACATCCTAACTCTCAAGTGTGATACGAGCATGCATGACAAAGGTTTGGTGGTACCGATGGTCTGCTTTAAAAGGTTAAACTTGTATAAACTTGTGGCTGCCACTTGAGCACCGCAAGAAACCTCCCAAGATGAATTAAGTAAAGGCCTTGTCATATGGAGCTATAAGCAAAAACTTGAAAAGCGTAAGGTTGCGTAAGGGAGTTGTGAGACATGCATGTTGCGTAATTTTCACCTGCAAAAGGAGCCTTCGCGTAAGCATTTCCCTTGGGAGTATGGTTCTCATGTGTAAAAATGCAGATGCGTAAGGTCTTCTCCAACATCCGTGGCGCGTAAGCTCACATTGTGGTCGCGTAAGAACAGCGCAAGCAAGAGCGTACGAAAGTTATGATAGGGGTTTAATCGTACAAATTTTGCACAGCTCACTTGTGCCTAGTGCATACAGAATTACAGTAAGGCCCATGTTCAACCATTCAAACAGATGCAAATTACTGTTATATATAGGTTTCTTGGATGCTCTAGCTGTTCGCTGTCCCCAGATTCCTGCTTGGCGTCAAAGTGTTTGCCCCAAGTGAATGCCCCAAGTGAACCCATACATTCAATTATAATTGCTTTAGAGTCCAGGAATGAAGATGTTGACAGTTCCAACTTTCAAGTTCCATCAAGTTGCAGGTACATCCATTTCAAGTGGTTGAAGTTCAGCCTGCAATATCTGACAAGGCTGGGGTGTTTTGGTGGCGTGCAAGTTTCATCCGCCTTTGTCATGGATGTCCTTCCCAAAGCACATGCACGTGTGCCCCTTGTGCAAGGACATGTCCGATCGAATTTGGGCCCTCCGATTGGTTCCATCCCACATGGTACGACATGTTCCATCGATACTTAATCAGTACGCTTTCAAGACTTAATTACTTAATCATACCCCTAGGGCTCCAAGTACCTCCTCAGAAGGTATTTGGACCCTATAAACCCACCCCAAACACCTTTTTAGAAGGTACATGGAGCCCTAGGGTACCTAATCATTGAACGCGGCAAAGACAGACCCGGTCCCTTGCTTTGTGGTTCTTCGATTCCTGGGGCATCACCGGGTCGTTCCCTTGGGTGGTGAACGAGTTCTCACCCTTGGACTCCATGCCATGCACTGATGTCGTATGCGCGGAAAAGCACGGTGTTTCACCGTGGTGCCCATATCATGTGGGTTTGTAATTGAATGGTGGACCTGGCAGCCAAAGGGGTTCCCTATCGCGCCATGTTCCCTATTGCATGCCAGGCGGCCCTTCGTGACCGAAACCACCTCCTTGTTGGTGACCTTGCAGCGCATCACCTGCAGCTTGGTGAGGTACAAGACAAGGTGAGCAACTGAAGCTAGCAACCAGAATGGGGTGCCAAGAATGAAGAAGCACAGCTGTGTGGTACGATATATTTTGGAAGGCTTACACATGCTTACACCCTTCGTTGCATCCCGTTCTGTTTGCCGATGAGGGCAGCACGAGCAACGCATGAATGCTGGTCCATGGAAAACGAGCTTCAAGACGCAGCACATCGCAGTGTATCGCAAGCGCAGCTGAGGCTTCAACTTTGTGATGCTAGGCCAGTTTTGAGCCATGGGTGTGCCACATAAAACTGGGTAGTTCATGATAGTTCATGGTCGATGGAGAGCATCTTTTCCATAACAATTAGCGTGAGAGAATTTGATCACGTTCAGTGTCAGCAGGCATCAGCAGACTGTTAATGAATCCGATCACTTGCGATCAAGACTGGGTCAAAATCAAGCACCCCAACATTCACAAAAGCATTGCATTGTAGTTTCACATCCCTCACAGCGTGGATGTTGTATGATTTGACACCCATGCAGATGCAGGATCTAGTTTGGCAACTTGGTTTGTCAGGTTTCCTGATTATGGCGCAGATCATCATCATTATACCCTACGAACCGCACCGCGGCAGAAACTGGTTCCACTGCTTTTGGCCCCCCGTGGCTCCGAAGTTACAGCTGAGGACCTGTGGACCGGTCAACGGCTTTCAAGCAGCAGGAGCGAAGCGAGCGGCAAAGCGAGCGGCGAAGCGAGCGTCGGTGGAGCTCCAGCAGCGAAGCAGCGCAGCAGGTCGTAGCTATTTGCCGTTCAAGAAGCAGCTACGAACGGAACAAAGGGCATCGCTGGAAGGAGCAAGAAGCTAGTCGCTCCAGGCATTTCTACTTGTAGCAAGGAGGCTATTAGTAGCTCTTTGTGCATAATTGGATTCAAGAACCATAAAGAACACGCAGAACCGAAGTGGATGATGGATGCACGTCCAAAGAGAATGGTCCACTGCAGACATGGCAGACTGGTCCATAATGCATGTATATAGTGAATCCGAGTGTCAATGCGTTACTGTAGCTTAGGAGGTCTACTGTATCCCTTTTCAACTTCTGGAGTTGCCAAATGCTTGGTCCAGTCTCGCGAATCCAAGACCCCCCCAATTACCAGTGTCGGTAGGGTCGTGTTTGGGTCGTCACCGGGTCATGGGTGTCGACTGTTCAGGTCAGATGATTTGGCAATTAGACCTTCCGTTCCTGGGCAGACGGTGATGACGTCTGGACCGACCAGCGTACGTATGGTCGACGTGGGGAGAAGCGGTACGGGGGATGCAGCCATATTGGAGCCTAAGTAAGGAGCCTAAGGGCACGGGCCTAAGAGATGGAAAGCGTCAACGTCCATGGAAGGAGAAGGGAGCCTGGGAACCTGCACGCATCGTGTAAAGACACGACAGCTTTTGGACGCACCATCTTTTCGGAATCTGCGTGGAATCGTGGAAGTTCTATTTCGGAGACATCCAGCGCGACGATGAAACCGGGTCGTAAGAGGACCCCTTTCCCAGCATCCCCACGGCTCGAAACATGATGCAACAACCCATATGGTTGGAAAGGACCAGGTGGAAATACTACTTCGCAAAGTCGGTGTTGCAATACTACTGCACAAACTAGACATACACATAGACATTTTCTGAAATAGCTTGACTATGTTTGTTTGATCATTGTTCTGATACAGTGCAGTTTTTCGCTAACGCAAGGCATGCAAGACCTAGAATCTTGGTTCGGTCAGACTTGTGCATTGGCAAAGGATGACAAAGGCTAGGCCTCTTGCTTCAAGTCTGAACTGAACACAAGTGCACTGCAAATCTTGACAGTTTTGGCGTTGACACAGTGGGGTGATAACCTTTAAGACCGACACCAACACCATCCAACATGCAAACCCGGATTGGGCCCAGACGGTAGTTCTTAGGCTGAAAGACTTGTGGTCTGTCTTTTACGACTGGACCCTGCAGAACCGCGGCTCCATCGTGGTGGCTTCTTGGTCGCCAGCCAGATGGGTCACCATTCACCACCTGCGGAAGGTGAATTCGAAGTTAGGCAGCCAGGTCACTGACTTGCTCCAAATATTCACATGTCATGAAGAGGAACTGAGGCGTGAGCACTGACTTCTTCCGAAAAATGGTCAGATTAAGCTCTTCCATCAGTCTTCTTCCTGCAGAGAAGGTGTTGACATGTGAACATGATTATTTCGCTGTCTAAAGAAAAACCAAGCAGGTTCTTCTTGAGTGTAGCATAGTGTATAGCACGTTTAGCACGCGGGTCACAACCCCTGTAGCCCTGGTTGACCGCAGCAAATGAACAGATTTCTCTATTTTAGATACTAGTAGTAGGATGTCAACCTTCCATGGACGTTTGCAGATTTTGCAGGTGACGTTGTTGACTCATCGATATCACAGGAATTCGCCGCCCTTCGGCGCCGTGCCATGCCAAACCCAGCGCTGCCCTTCGCTCGATTTGCCTCAGGTGATGCTCATGGCGATGTTAGTGCTTCGGATGCTGCACCAGGCGGCCGAAACGGGGTTGGGCGAGCCAGATGGGAGGGGAGATGGCCATCCCGGACACCTGCAGTAAACGTGTCTCGTTTTGCAGCTGAAAGATCTGGGCCCATCCCATGAAAATCCAAAATTCACGCCCCCTTGATGAAAAGTGGGGGGAGTTAGTCAACACATGTCAACACTTAGTTTTACTTCTACTTAGAAATACACCACGTTGCCTTTCACCGTTCCAGATTCGTTCCAGATCACGTTTCAACGCGCAGCAGGTTCTGTGTGATCACTTGGTGGATTCCTTCCCTGGGGTCGACCAATGCTGACCAATGCTCTCGTTGACCCAAAAGACATGGAAAAACAACAACAAAACCTTTCAAAAGATGTGAATGTCAAAACTTTCATAGGAAAGCAACAGTATTCTTTCTTGGACTCAGTGTTGCTTAATACTAAAACCGTTTGAGGAGGCGGCGCCCTCCCGTTTGGAGGTCTCCTTGCGAACCAACCGCACCGCAGGGGGCCTCAGGGCCCGTTCCGCGTTCCGCGGATGACCGTGTCTCGGGATCCACGGACCTCCCAGGACGTGGAGGGCAGCTGAACGCGACGTTTCAGTAACAAACCCTAAACCTCCGGTCGTACCTCCCCAGAAGGTGTTTGGACCCTCATATGGTAGATGGTAAAATGGTCGAACACGATGTCTTGCGTTTTGTGACTGTGTGTGTGATGCATTTGGCTTACGTTTGGCTTGTCAGAAATCACTGCATATCACTATGACTGACAAGATAATCAGTTTCAGAGTAGATGGCGCAATCCCCAAGAGGTCCTTCAGATGGGGACCATATAAACCACCTTTTGGGGTTTGTGCCATCTACTCTGAAACCACTGTAGTACTTTTCTTGCGTCCACATGACCCATCAGGGAGTCTTGAAGTGTGCAGATGCGCTCCATCGCATCTCAGCTGATGTGCCTAGTCGAGGAGATGCTGGTTGGTTCTTTTGGACCTCAAGCCTGTTGTGCACTGTATCTTGTTCAGATCTCTTCTAGAGAAGTCTTCAAGAAAGCCGCACGGCGTTTTGCAATTTAACATTTAAAACATAATTAAACAAAGAGACAATTAAAGAGACAATTTTATTATAGTTTCATCATAGCCGAACCCTTCTTCGCTGCCGCACTCGGCTCCTCTTCGCTGCCCTCGCCCTTGCCACGCCTCAGGTCGTGGAGCAAATGTCCGGCGTGGCGAATCGGCAGGTGGCGTCCCTGAGCAGGCGGAGCGGAGTGGAGCGGAGCATGGAGCTAGAGGACACCAGTCCGCTACGTCACCGAGTCAGTATCGGTCAGTCTATGTTTATTTCTAGCCTAGCATAGCCTACGTAGCCTTCCGAGAGCATTGAAAGGTTGACCTGCGTAGTCTAGAATCCTGAGTAAGACAATTTGGTTCAGGAAGAGAGCCATTTGACTATTAGAAGTATCATTAGTTATATACCATGCTGGCTGGATGTTTTTTCCTATAGACCTTGAAGCGGGTATATAATATTGTAAATAGGAGCTCAACACCAAAAACTGTTAACACAACAATTGATAGTGTAATTACAAGCCAGGTGTATATATATATATAGAGAGAGAGAGACAGACACGGGAATGGATTAGGTATCCACAGTGAGGGGTCATTCCCTTATTCCTTACTAGGCACCAGTCAGTTTAGGGTTTTGACTCGGACATGCAATTGGCTTGAGGGAGACTAGGCTTATGATATCTATATAAAGAAAACACACGGGTTTGGGGATGGCCACATTGCATTTGGGCAACTTGTCATTTGTGATGGTTTGAATCCATGCGATCCCCCATCAGCATAGCCGCACACCAGCAGATCATCTTCTGAGGGTTTCATCACCTTCGTGGAACCGGCTCGGAAAAGCACGTATTCCTCCATTTTCTCTCCTCCAAAACGAAAAAACACGTGCATTCTTTTGCAGGGAGCTTTGGCGCTTGGAACGGCGCAACGACTTGCTGAAGCGGCGCTTGGAGTGGCTCGAGGGGAAGGCAGGATGTGAGGGAAGTCTTTGGTGATGTCCTCGAGGGAATGGGATTCCCTACCCAGGAAGTACATGGAACACCTGCAGGGAAAACCATTTTGGGGGACACCCTAAACTCCTAAACCCTAAACACCACTCAAGAACAGGCACGATTTGTTCGGTGAACCTTCAAAACTCAGAAACTCAGGGAGTCAGATTCAATTCCCCAAAAGATTCAGATTGATTACTGTCGGAGTGTAGCTGAACACTCCGCGTGTTTCGGCAACCCCGCTTCTATCGGGAAACCCCGCTTCGCTGTGGCAGGCCACCGACGAGAACGAGTAAACGATTGCAAGGGGTGGCCGATTTGGCAGCGTTCTCCAGATCATTGGGAGAATATTTTTCCGTGACATCTACAAGAAGTAACCTGATGAAGCTGGTTGTTTGCAGTCAGTGACCTGAGCAGGCCGCAGCCACGACCCATCTAGGGTAGCGTTAAAAACTGCCTAAATGAGGTCTATATAGCACTCAGTATCACGCAGCTTCTGCAGATGTCCAGTGGAATGAACACTTCTACTTCTACTGTAATTGGATCCTTCCCTTTGGTGACCAGCCGCTGAAAAACCATCTGAAATGGGGGTCCTCAATTTCGAAAACAAGTCGAACAACGGCATATTCACCGATCAGTTGGGGTGGTTGACCTGGGGGGAATGTAGGCATATATGCCAGTCCCATGGAGTGTTTGGGATTGGAACTGGAGTTTGATGAACTCGTTTGAGGAATCTGTTTGTTTTGCAAGTATTGACACCAATGTTTGGACCATTTTGGCTAGTCAATTTTGTCATCGGTTGCTGCCAAATCGCATCCCACTGCCATTGATTGCTTCGCACTTATATCTGTGCGATGCTGCTGTACAAAGAGTCACAAGACAAACTTCTGAAGGCCTACACATCATGTGCCCAGATGATACGAAGTGCAGCCAAGTGGTAAATATCACATTTGAGCTGTATGCCTCTTCCTTCTTCCGTTAGTCGCCTGAGGCAGAGATCTGTAAGAGTCCTGCAGGGCAAACTCCACTGAACTCATCCACGGGGACCTCTTAGATCGCGTGCGGTTGGGTGTGGTTCCCAAGTATGGTAGGTTGACCTCCCTGTGTTCAGAGCAATCTCTGTGGATGGAGGGGGTAGACGGCTCGATGGCTGTCGACCGGTTGGTCTCCGCCATGGGTGAAAAGCGAAGCCCGACCAACCATGGGTTCGGTTGGAAGATTGACATCTCTGTTTTAGAGGAATTTGTTGATATTTGATGGTCCACCCGGGTGATTGACATAGGATTCGCTTGGATTTTGGGTGGTAGCTTTGAGCGGTTTGATGTGGTTTGGGTTCAGATCGTGATGTGACGACTAAGCCTTTTTTGCCCACGGGTTGATTTGAGAACTCCATTCTTATGGCCACCACCAGCTATATTATATAGACCAAAGAGGCACATCCTCTGGAAACGTTTAGGACATCCAAAAAAGCATGTGGCATACCTCATAATATCTCAAGATTGTTTGTTTGACAAGAATCTTCATATTGACCGGAACTCTTTTTTCCAAACAAAGAGACTTCGCATGCAGATAAATTGACTTGGCCGTTAATAGGCCTTTAGGGGGCTGCCTTGCGTCAGGTCTTTTTCACCGAACTCGCAGAATTGCGAACGGTGCCGATCTATTTGTAGCTTTGGGTGGTTGGGATCCGAATTTTGATTCTGCTTGCATTCAGTTTGTAAGTTTCACAATGTTTCACGTGTGATTGGCTGCATGGCGCAGCTTGATATCCTTGGGCTTGATGCAAACACCTGAGGCTTTTGGTGATGTTCGTAGAGACTCGATTGAGAGGTTGACAAAACAGAGCAACTCAGCTAGCCGCTAGCCGCTAGCCCCTCTATAGAATAGCAAGAGCTCCTGCGTGGCTGGATGTTACTTTGCTTTATACTACCATACGTATGATATGTGACTCATAGGCTCAGTTGATTGGGATATTTGGGGACTATATTGAAACAAGTCCGTTCTTCTGAAGCCGCCATTTTGATGATCTTCTATATATAGATTGGGGAGTTTGGCTCATGAGAAGACACTGTTCATGTGGTGTTTCAGGTGTGGCATGGGCGGCTTTGAAGCACTGGTCATCGATGAGGTGAGAGCTGCCAACCAGTGCAGGTCTTGGCCACCGATAGCCACGGGTGACGGTAAAGCAGCTAGTTCTGAGAAGACTTGCAAATTCAAGAGATCGCAGGGAGCCTTGACTTTTTTCCAGCCTTTTCATGGTCTCCATCCGCCAAACCAAAAGTAGCATCAAACAGCACCACTTCGGCCAAAAACGCCTCGCAGCCCACCCCCAAAACGCCTCGCAGGCAGCAAAACACGCGCGCAAAAAACGCCTAAGCCAGGCAGCACAGGTGGTGGAACCAGGACCCTGGATCCCTTTAGCTTGGGGTCCCAAGCGGATGATCTTGGTCTGGAGCCCCGATCGACCCATCGGACTGCGGACATTGGTCGGCTGGGTGTTTTTGTTGCGTTCTTTGTGATTCGTTTGCGTGTGAGGCAAGTATCGCGGGAATTGGACATGAGGATTCATGAGGATGCTTCTAGAGATGAGTTGGCTTAAGGTTGGATCTTCCATGTTCTGATACAATAATGCATGGGTCCGATGATGTTTCCATATTTTGTTGGGTGTCTCAGAGTCCACCATTGGAGGATAATCGACTTGTCTAAGGTCTCAACCTGTTGGAAGTCCAGGCAGAAAAATTGCGGCATATATACATGAGTTGTTCCTTGGGGTGACTTAGATAAACTGAGGTTGATCCTGAGAAAGTCCTAACCGGTGTGGAATCATGGACGACTCGACTCCAAACTCTCAGAGCCATCCTGAAGTTGCGTGGAGTGTGGTGAATGTAGATCACCCGTAATCGTGGGAAGCCCAGTCCTAGTGGTCCTAGTCCAGCAGGGCAGTGCCGACATCGTCCGGTTCAGGGACCTCGAGACTCGCAGTGCCCCATCGTGCTGAGGTGGGTGATGAGAAGCAGTTGCCTGCCACCGTCCTCCACCCGCGTGCTCGCGATGAGGGTTTGGGCATCTCACTGTTCGAGCGCGCCTCCCAGCGGTCGTTTTGGAAGAGATGGGCGAGATCACTTGATGGAATGAAAGCTTCCAGGCAAACACATGGTTTATCTATGTGTATCTCACAATCAGGAGACAGGAGACTCTCCAAGCACCAATAGAATGATTTTGAGATCCGGACATTCTCCTCAACTCTGGCGCAAAGGCGCTTTGTGAAGGATAACATTGTCTCACATGGCCTGGACCCCAGTGATTGTGCAAAGATTGTTCTTGTCAACAGATGTCTGATGTGTATATATGTGTATGTATGTTCCAACTTGCATGTAGCTTGCGTGTGCAAGTTTTCACAAGAGTTACCAACATGTCTCACCGCGCATTTTGGTTCAAGTGCAAGACTGTGCGGTGAGCACAGTACATCGAGACAAAAAAACACCTATATAACCACGCTCCGAGCAGAAAAGGTCTTGCAAATCCTTTGAAGCGTGGATGGGACGATTTTTGCTTTTGGCCCGTACTTATATAAATGATATATGCTCCACACAGAGCCACTGCATCAATTTTACATATGGCGGTCGATCAATTCCTAAGTGGGTTGGAGCCTGACACTCTCGCTAGATGAGAATTTAATCACTCTTGGTGAACCAGGCTTCTAAGATGCATGATCATACATACAGGTACGACTGCACCAAACTGCGCTGCTATGCTCTCTGGTAGAGGGCATGTTTCGTTCTCTTTGAGATGGTGGTCTAGAGGTTTGTCTCCACATAGTCTCCCCAAACACCAGGCGTCGAGAAGAGACATGGACACCATCCCTAGATGTCAATTCTTCGAGGTCAGACCTTCCAAAAGCGCGTCTTGTTAAAAATCATAGAGATTGAGATTCAGCAAAGATGAGCCAAAAATAAGTGTTTTTGTCAGCTTTCCTGGATTTTGAGGGTTTCTCAGCTGAGGCAATGGCTTCGTTCAGTTGGATGAGCAGCAGCGGATGCATCCCAGCATCGCCGAGTGCCTGGGACGCATCCCGAGCGTTTTGTTCACCCCAGTCTGGGACCGGGATGATCCCGGAGCCACTTCCTGGTGGATTCTGGATGGCTCGTGAAAAACAGGGGACATGCGAAAACCTAAGAGTTCATAGGCTGGCCCGTGAGCAGTCAGTGGAAGATAAATACCGATTGTTTGAGGAAAGGTCTTCACCATCATCATCACCATCATCATCAACAACAACAATCATCATCATTCATCATCATCATCATCATCATCACCATCATCATCATCACCATTGTCATCACCACCATCATCATCAGTTTTCATCATTCATCATTCATCATTCATCATTCATCATCATCATCATCATCATCATCATCATCATCATCATCATCATC